TTTAAAGTACAATTTACTAGTTAAATTCTTATTTAGTTCACAATTCCTATCAAATCCCAATTTCCCCAGAACTCATGTAAACATACCATCAGAATTAACTACATCTAATGATTCTAAGACCTGAATTTTCTATCTTTGAGAATTTTTAAATATGATCTCCTAAATTAGTTATCTCAGGATGATTTTTCTAAAATATATTCCCTGTTGTGTTGTCCCATTCTGTAAACTCATATACCTTTCTCATTGATTATAGGTTTCTCTTTAGTAATTCTTTGTATTCTTGGGGGCCTTAAAGGGTTGTCAAGGACAAAGCCATCTAACCTAATGCCTGAAGGTCCTCTACAGCTCTCTGCTTCTACCCTGCTTCTATATGGCTGTCATCAGTAGTACACAAACGTGTTCTGAGGTTATGTATGACTCACAACCAGGAAAGGCAGACATTCAATAACACCTGTCTTAGCCTGGTTTTACCAGAAAGCAGAGCCTGAGGAAAAGGCTTATGTGACAATAAATTCTTGGGGAGTATTACCTAGGAGGCAAAAATGAAAGGCAATAGTAGTGAAGCAGGAAAAAACAGAAGAAAAATGGATTATTGAATTAGCTACCCCTACATGTGAGTGGTTGTTCAATTCCATGGAATTATGGAAATATTAAATTTAAAATAATTTAAAGGTTAATATTAAATTATTATATAATATGATGTTCTCTAACCACAGTGATATTAAACTAAAAATCAATAAAATCAATTAACAAAAACTGAAAACATCTCAGATGTCCTTCAGTGGGTGAATGGCTAAAGAAACTGTGATGCATCCATACCATGGACTACTACTGAGCAAGGAAAGAAACAATCTATAGACACACAACAACTTGGATTGATCTCTGAATAATTATGCTAAGTGAAAAGACAACCCCAAATTTTACAGACTATAATGATTCCATTTAAATAATACTCTCAAAATGACACAACTATAGAAATGGAGAACAGATGAGTGGTTGCCAGGAGATAAGGAGTCAACAGGAGTGCGAGAAAAATTGGTGTAGCTACAGAACAAAGCAATGTGAGGAGTCCTTGTGTTGATGGAAATGTTCTGTAACTTGACTGTACCAATATTTTAGCCATTTTAGAAGAGCTTACCATTTGAGGGATAAAGTATCATGGGATCTCTCTGTATTTCTCACAACTATCATATGAATCTACAATGATCTCAAAATAAAAGCTCAATGTAAAACATTTTTTGTAAAAAGCCCTCTCCGCAGTTCATATGATTATCTTTATTTCACTATCACTCAAATGCTAAACCCAAAGTATAACCCCCAAAACTTACTTCCCCCTGTATCTCACTCCTTAAACCATAGATGAAGACTTTAGTAATTGGAATGCCACTGCATCCCAGAGATTATCACCATGCCACATAACTCCAGGAATGGAGTCCTTACTGACATCTGACTTGTGAGAGATCCACTTTCAGAATCCCATCCTAAGGGTTTACTTTCAGGGGCCACTGCTAGTACTGCAGACTGATTCCCCAGTATGCAGAGTCTGTGACAAAGCTTGAATGCCAGTACTATATTAGGGAGTGTGATCTGGAAGGCAAAACTGAGAGACAGTGAGAGCCAAGTAAGTAAGGATAGAGAGCTAATACAGAGACGGGTTATCCATCTGGCCACTGCTATGGATGACTGGTTATGTGGTAGTCAGAATTCTAAAGATGTTCCCCAAGATACCCATCCCCTGGTTATTCAACCAAACACTAATCTAGGTACTATTGTGAAAGGGCTTTGCAAATGTAATTAAGGTCATGAATTAATTTATCTTAAAATAGGGAGATTATTTTGTATTATCCAGGTGGACCCAATCTAATCACATGTACCTCAGAAACAGAATTTTCCTAGCTGAAGACAGGAGAGAAGAATTGTTGCCAAAGGGAAAGGCAGAGAGATTCCAAGTGTGAGAAGGATTCAACATGTTGTTACTGTCTCTGAGACGGGGGCCCATGTGCAAGGATGGGAGACAGGCCCTGAGACCAAGGGCGTCCTCCCTCTGACAGCCAGCAAAGAAATGGGAACCGTGGTCCTGCAATCACAGGGACCTGGATTCTCCCAACAATCTGAATGAGCTCGCCATCAGATTCTCCCGGGAGCATCCAGAGAAGAGTCTCAACCAGCAGACACCTTGAATTTGGTCTTGTGGAACCCAGAATAGAGAAGTCCCCCAGACAACTTGGGCTTATGATCTACAGAACTTGAGACAAGAAAATTTGTGTTGGCTTAAGTCACTACGTTTGTGGTAATTTTTACAGCAGCCATAGAAAATGAACTACAGTTTGCTGCCTAAAATGTGACGCAGGACTGTGTGGCTAGAGAAAGAAAGAAAGATGTATGCATTGACTCCCATCTCGTATTAATGGAGGTTGCTTCACAGAGGGATAACTGCCCTCCACTGTGGAGTTAGACATGCATGAAGGTCCAGCACAGCATCAATAAAAAAGCCTTGGAGTGGGAAATGGTTAGGTGTGAGGGGCAGGCCTGAGGCAAGGTGCTTCCAGGCTACACACCTAAGAAGAGGCCAGAGGCAAGGTTGTTCTCATGCATACTCCACAAAAATAAATATCAAGTGGGAGAGAGAGGAACAGCTTTCTTTTTCTGGATCCCAGATCTATTATGCACCCAGCTGTGACTCTAATTCACACACAAGCACCATATGGATTAGCCGCAGTGCCACTGAGGTGGCATAAGGCTCTGTAAGGCAAGCACTTAAGGTGCTTGAAGGGTCATTATTCTGGGATGAATGTTTGCATTCCTCCAAAACTTGTTAGTTGAGATCCTACTCACCAATGTGATGCTATTAGGACATCAGACATTTGGGAAGTGGTTAGGGGAATTTGTGCCCTCTGAGAGGGACTTCAGAGAGCTCTCTTGCTCCTTCCACTACAAGAGGACATGGCAAGAAGAAAGCTGTGTGTGCAGGGAAACTGGCTCTTATCAGACGGAATTTGCCAGCCCCTTGCATTTAGATTCTCCAGCCTCAAGAACTGTGAGAAATAAATCCTTGATGTTTAAATGACCCAGTCTATGGTAGTTTTGTTACGGTATCCTAAACAGACTAAGACAGTTATCGAAATAGTTCTCAGAGAAATTAAGTTTCACAGTGGGACATGACTGAGGAGAAAGCTGAGCCAAACAGTGACGCTGTTGAGAGTAGAAGACAGGAATAATAGGGAGATGGTCTCCTTCATGAGAGGGGCTGCAGGGGCCTGACATGCACTCTCCACCAGCAGCCGTGTATTTGTATGGATGAGTTGTGCGGGTGGGCAGATTGCCTTGGGCCCTCTGAGGCATTTTGTTTCCTGTCCTTCTACTTTGAATTCTAGGATGCTACTTTGAATCCCAAAGGAGAGGTTCTCCCTTGCCCCTCTTCTTTGTCACAACCAAGCACATCTATGTCAAGGTCATGGCCTAGGTCTTGAGAGCTGGAAATTGGTAGCTTACAAGAATATCATCTTTGGAAGGTAGATTGTCCTCTCCTGTGTGGCAGGAGGTTCCCCACAGCTTCCCCTTCCCGACCCTCCTCCCTCATCTGAGGATTCAACCCTCCCGTATTACCCAAGGGTATCTCCTCCTTACTGACCTGGATCCACCACTGCACCGGCCAGACTATTTGGGGCCAGTTGCTTGACCTTTCCTTGCTTCTATTTCTTCTATAAAACAGTGATAATAAAAACATCTATTTTATAGGAATGTGGTTTGGCTTAAATGGATTAATGTAAAAATAAATCAAGTCTCGGGAACAGTGCCAGATGTAGAGTAAGTGCTTGCTATTATCATTAGTATTATTGTTATTAAATGGCAAATCCAAATACAGGGAATTGATCAAATGAATTATAATACAGTTATAGAATGGGACACCATCTCATTGTTTAAAAACGAAGAAGAGTTATCTTAATAAGATATTAATATGTATATAATATAATATATTATATATTAATAAGATGTGTGAATTAAGACAACATAGTAATATGGAGAATTACAGAATAGCTTGCATAATATTTGTGTAAAACAATATGTCAAAGTAATTTCTACTTGCATTTGCTTGCAAATGCATAAAATTGCTCAGGGAAGATACACAAGAAGCCAATAATAATAGTTTTTCTATTTGGGACATAAAAAACTTGGCAGATGGCTGACAGCAGTAGAAGAGATATTTTTCACAGTATATTTTTATATTTTTCAATTTAAGGACCATGTAAATGTGTTATCTATTAAAAAATACAGAAATGCCTTACAATCGAAAATGTGAAATAAAGGAAGAATTATAATTCATTGGAGCTAGGGAACTCTAAATCATGGGTGAGAGCCCTGATTCTGAAATCTAGGTTGCATAAAATGCATGATTAGCCTTTTTTCTTTTTCAAGAATTTCTAATCAACTGGAATACTGAGAGATGAGTTCTGAGCCCTCAAGACTTATCCCATGGCAAGGGTGGCACCTGCAGGACAAACTGAGAATTTGTTTATATTTTTCTGCTGAGCAAAAGAGTACTTGGCTTGGCTTAAGGCGATGACCATAGATTTCCCCATCAGAATTGCTGGACAAATAAGTTGGCATATATACTGATACTGCAAACAAAGGCATTTTTCACATAGGGTATCCAGGAGATGTGCTGCCCACTCACTAGTTGTGTCTTTCAGCAAAGGCATTTGACAGCTTCAGAGACATGGTTCCATCAGGTATAAAAAAATGGAGAAAGAGGCCTGTTTTGCAGAGTTTTATGGGTTTGAAATAAGGTATGTGAAGTTCATTGTTCAGCTTTGGCACATTATAGGAGTTCAGTAACTAACTGAAATTGTTAAAGGCCACTGTCTGTTGGACTGATTCTTTCAATCAAATGCCCAGTTGGCAGCAAATTAGCCCTTTCACCACCTTCCAAAGGAAATCCAATCACACCAAGCAAAACATAATTTCTGAGGTTATACTTTAGAGTTGCAAAGCAGACTCACCTGAGTAGTGATGGGGGTGGGGGCAGTGCATCCAGGGCCCTTCTCCCTTGTAGCCCATGGTTGCAGGGACGGCTGCATCCCTGCTCCAAGGTTTCTGCTGATTCAGCAACTCCCTGCCTGTGCAGCCTCCTTTCACTTCTTATGCATAGCAAGGTATCTCTCCTGCTTTACACTTTTGTCAAACAAAAAACAAATTTGGACTTCAGTAAGTAAGCAGACTTTATTTAACAAGACTATTGCAATCAGGAGAGGAAGACTGCGACAGGGAGAACAAAGCTCCTGACCATTAGATCTATAAACCTCTCAATGCCCAGGCAGAAAGGACTTTAGTTTCCAAGGGAGAAGTATGTACAAGACTAGAAAGAACGTGGAGGAGTAAGATGAGCAGGCGACGTGATCAGAGAGTTGAGCAAGAAGGAATTTTCCCACATTCTAGTATTTGCCTAACCTCAGGGACCAAAGTTTGGGCTCTGGGGGAAGGAGAGAAGCTGGACTAAAGTCTGGCTGAGGCATGTTAGTGGGCATTTTGGTCGAATTGGTCAGTGGGTACAAAGAGTTCAGATCATCTTTTATGACAAAGAATGGGAATTTGGAGAGTCTGTGTCTGGCTTTGTCCTAAGTAAACAAAGGGGTCATCTGTGAGTCTTGTTTAAATCACATGGGGAAGCATGGGTCTTTGCAGTAAGCCTCTGCCTGGAACACAAGAGAATGAGAGGATTTCTTAACCACTACAATTTTCCAGGACCACGGGGCTCAGGTAAATTTCAACATTGTCATTTTCTAAACTAGCACAACACATCTCTACTGTTGGTAATGTGGGGCCATTTACTCACCATTCTCCACTTCTGTTTCTTCACCTATCTGTATTTTCCAGGAAAAAGAATTACTATACTATAAATTACTTAATATGTATGTTTTACTGACAGCAAGAGAAATGTATGTACATAACTGAAAAGTTGCACATATGTGCATGTGCATATATATGATATAAAATAATGTATATGATCATACATTACCCAAAATAACTTAGGATGTCTTTCCCATGAACATTCCTCCATATAACCACAATAACAACACCCAACTAAAATTTAACATCAACTTTACAGTATTTTCTAATAACCAGTCCACATTCTCATTTTCCTAATTGTGCTCTAAATGACTTTCATTGCTTTTTCCCCCTTTAAACAGTATCCATTCTAGGTTCCCACATAGCAATGGACTTTATGTCATTTTTAGTTTTCTTGAACTTTGCTACTCAGAGCGTGATCTGTGAATCAGTATTAATACCATCATGCAGAAATGGTGGATATGCAGAATATCAGGCCCTGCCCAGACCTCCTAAATCGGAAGCAACTTTTGAACCAGACCCCGAGGTGACTGGAATGCACCTTGCAGTTTGAGAGCCAATACTTTAGTGCAGTGTTAATACTTTCTCCCCCATGAGATTGGATTTTTTGAAAAGTTTACAACAGCTGTCTTTTTCTTCACTATCAGTTTTATAGTCATGTATCTAAATATAAAAGTTGCTTACATCCATTCTAGAATGTTTGAAAAATGATGATTTTATTTTGTATTTTGCTCTTTCTCTGTCTGAGAGTGCTTTGATATTCACAAAAGTATCCCTCTCTTTTTCTCTCCTTTCTTTTGATCATCTCACTAATACATGAATGCACTCTCTTATAAAACTTTACATGATTTAGACATCTACCATGAAAAGTCTATATCCTCCTTTCTACTTCCTAATACTTTTATTCCCCTCTTCAGATGTAGGTACTGTCAACTGGTTTATTTATCTGTATGATTCAGGGTTCAGGCAGGAAAGAAGTGATGAAAATTATGGAAAGAAGGCAATTTTAGGAATAAGACCTTACAAAAATGCTGGAAGTGAGGAAGTCTAAGTCTGAAAGGTGAGTCAGAAATCAGGGTGCCCGAGGGGTTACATGAAGATGCCAAAGCCTGGAGCTTGTGGTGAAAGCTGGAAGCCAAGTATGTCCAACCAGCAGGGGGCACTCAGGAGCAGGAGCTCATGGAGGGGGCTACAGGATACCGTGGGAACTTCCCTCTGCATGACTTCCTCCCTGTGGACCTACAGCCAAGCATCTTTGATGGGCTCAGGGCTGCTATTGAACATGGGGGCCAGAGATTGTTATAATTAAATACACTATTTCAGGCACAGCCTGACAGCTTACCGTGGGTAACAGTGGTTAAGAAAAACACTGCCTTGGGATTTTTTTTCCCCTTTCTTTTCTTCTGACTACCCCCATTTTTTTCCTTGGTTGTTTATTTGGACAGGTAACCTGAGTTTGGAAAAGAATAGGGAAATATCTGGGGCTAATGGCTTTTGAAACAGAAGGATTGAGAGAGAACAATTAAAGTCACCTTTAAAAAATCATAATACAAATAAAGATAGTATCTCTTCTATTCCTGGTCCTAAGTTGCTAATGAGAATTAGAAGACTCTTCTTCAGTAGCCTGAATGAGAAAGATTGACATGATCATAAAATCAAATGAAGTAGCCTCAAAAAAGTACAAAAAATCTCTCTGGAGAATGTTGAATCTGACAAGGATTATTAAAGATTCAGTTTCTGAACTTCCATGTTCAACAGTAAAACATGATGATGTGTTTGCTAATAGAGACCTCTAGAGAGCGCATGTTAGAATTGCAGCAAAACCTTTTCTTTATTTAAAAAAAATTTTTTTAATCTTTAATTTTAAGATCTGATTTTGGGTGACACCATAGATTTTTGAAACACTGAAGAAACTTAGAGCTCGTTTAATGTTTGTATCTTCCTTATACTTATTACTCATCTTTTATATGCCAAGCACTTTCATAAATAATACCTACTTTGGTTTCCATAACAATTCTATGAGATAAATATTATTTCATCTTATATTTTCAAAATCCATTTTGAAGATTTTTTCTTATTTCATTTTTATTTTTCCTGCTTTATTAAAGTTTGGTTAGCAAATAAAAATTGTGTATATTTAGACTATATATAGTGATGTTTACAGTGTACAATATGATCCTTTAATATATATATACACATTGTGAAATGATTACCATACTTAACACCTCCATCACCCTGCAGAGTTACCTTTTGGGTGGTGAGAACACCTAAGGTCTATCTTAGCAGATTTCAAATATACAAGGTATAATTAACTGTAGTCACCATGTTGTACATTAGATCCCAGAACTTAGTCATCTTTTTAACAAAAATTGTGTGCCCTTTGATCAACATCTCCCTACTTTTATAATAGCAACCACTGTTCTCCCTTCTAGTTCTATGAGTTCAACTTTTTGGATTCTGTGTGTAAGTGACATCACACAGTGTTTGTCTTCCTGTGTCTGGCTTCTTTCTCTAAGCATAATGTCCTCCAGGTTCATCCATATGGTCACTACGGCTATTGTTAAAAAGACAAGAGATAACAAGTATTGGTGAGGATGTGGAGAAAAGGGAACACTTGTACACTCTTGGTGAGAATGAAATTGTACTACCATTATACTAAATTCTTCAAACTTTCTAAAAAAATTGTTAAGTTCCTCCAAAAATTAAAAATAGAACTGCCTATGATCCAGCAATCCCACTTCTGGGCATATATATCTAAGGGAAATGAAAGCAGGATCTCAAAGAGATATCTGTGCCCCCGCATGTTCATTGGCAGAATTATTAACAACAGCCAGGACATTGGAAACAATTAATATTCAATGGCACATTAGTCACTTTCACTTCCTGAATGAAGAAATGAAGACTCATAAGCTCAAGTGATGTGTCTAAAAGCAGAAAGCTAGAAAGTGGCAGAGGCAAATCTAAAATGCAGGACCCTGCATTCCTAGGCCAGCAGTTGTTCTGATATACTACAATATCAAAATAGTACACCTGTAAATGAAGAGGACTTAGAGGTCATTTAGTGCATTTTCATTCCTGAAAGAGTTAAAAAGAGGCCCAGAAAGGGAAACCAATAGCCTGGGGTCACAGAGCTCCTGAAGCAGAGCCAAGGTTAGCATGCCTGTCTCCTGGTTTTCCAACCCCAGGTGTGTCAGTTATACCACAGGAGAGTAAGTGCGTCCTACTTAACAATAATGTGGAAGGACCCATTTCTAGCAAAATGGCAGGATGGTTAATAAATTAAGTAAATAAATAACTTCTTAGGAAAAAAATCCCCCAAATTCTACATCTAATATTTTAAAACTCATTTTTAATTTTTAGTTCAAGAAAGTTTACTTCCTGAAATTGAAAGTCGAAATTTTATAAGTGAAGGCAGGGAAATACAAGAAAATTTCAAAGGATGAAAAGGAATAAACAAGATAATCAAGGAGGTGAAGAATTCAGAAGCTGTAGATCACTCAAAGGTATCAGAAGTATGGAGAGCTCAAGCTTTCTGGTGGTCTCATGGGATATCAGCCCAGGAAGCAAAACTTCAGCTCTCCACAAGATGGACATTCAGACAACATCCCACTGTGTAAAGCTGGGACCCCTGTAGGGTAAGCCCTCACTTGGAAGCATGAATTGAAAATCAAAGTTGCTCTACCGATGGGCATAGTGAAAAAGATGATCTTTCTCAAACATGGCACTGGGTTGGGGAAGGGAGGGATGCTTCTGTTGGGAATTTTGTGTGTGTGTGTTTTTAAAAGTCAGGTTTATAGAGGCATAATTTCTATGGAGTAAAATTCATTCTTTTTAGCATATAGCTCCATGGATTTTGACAAATGCCTATCTATACTCATGTAACTGTCATTAAAAAAAAGTTTTTTTCTTGCAGTATAGTTGACATATAATATTATATTTGTTTCAGGTATACAACATAGTGATTTGACATTTATGTACATTATGAAATGCTCACCCTGGTATGTCTAGTTACCATCTGTCACCAGAGTTATTACAAAATTATTGACCATATTTCCTATGCTGTACTTTACATCCCTGATCACCATTTCAATCAAAATGTAGAACAGCTTTATCACCCCCAAAATTCTCTAGTGTCACTTTGTAATCAAACAGCCTCTGCAACCACTGATTTTTCTGGCCCCATAATTTTGCCTTTTCAAGAATGTCACTTAAATGGAATCACAGGATATTGTATTTCTTTGAGTTAGTTTCTTTCACTTAGCATGTTGTATCAGGAGTTTGTTTCTTTTTTTTGTTTTTTGTTGTTGTTGCATATCATCCCATTG